CTGTAAATGTTCATTAAAACTAATAAAATTTAATAATAATAAAAAACCCAAAACTGGACAATAAAAAAGAAAGACAAAAACTGATGCATTTGAGTTGTGGTGCTGGTGAAGAGTACAGAGTATACAATAGACTGCCAGGAGAACAAATACATCAGTCCAAAAGGAAATAACAACTAGAATGTATGTTGAAAGTGAGGATGGGGGAATTTCAACTTGCTTACTTTGGACAGGTCATCAGGAAAGCCCAATCAGTGGAAAAGGACATGACACAACAATGGACTCACATATGCAAATGATCAGGAAGATGGCACAGGAGCAGGCAGCATTTCATTCTGTTCTACTTACAGTCAGCACAAGTTGGAGCTGACCCTGTGGTACTTAACTGTAACAGCAAAGTCTGTTTTACCCTTAACAGAAATATGTGTAAATCAGGAAAGTTGTAAAGTTTACTGGAGTATCTTGCTAATGGCATTGTTGGGCAACTCTGGCAGTTTTTATGCACTAGGGCAACAGATAGGGAGTTCTGATGGCATACGGAAGTTGCGCTTCTAACCCAAAGGCCCTGCCTCTCTGGTGATTCAAATCCACCAACAGTTGGGCAATCTCTTCCTGTGCAATTTACAGCCTTGGAATCTCAATGGAAAGTCAGCTATGAGTCTGTTCTGACTTGATGGCAATGAAATGAGTTGAGAGGGCAATAGATGAAAGATGGGTAAGGGAAAACCTTTCATTTGTAAAGTGGTCAGAAAGATTGAGAAAGGGAAGGTGAGGAAAGAGAAGTGTCTCAACTTCTTTTTCAGGAAGATGAACTTTAGAAAATAATAGATGTAGAAGATGAGAAACAGAAATTCTCTTTAAATGCCTTACTCTCCACAAGTCCTCCTAAATACACTTTCCAACTTGAATATGGCTGAAATTATCTAATACCTCCTTATCCCTCTATCTCTGAATTCATATAGCACTTAAGGTTTATTTTTCATACTTTAGGGATTCTTGTCTTTTTAAAATGCCTTATTTTCTTATGTGGTGAGTATCCTCATACCTCATGTCAGCTAATTTGTGATGGTTGAAAAGATGGCTATGTATATTGTAGGCAGGGGTAGCAGAATGTTTAGAAATGAGAATTTTCATTTGGAAAAAAAGGGTGAAGAACCCTGGTTAGAATACAAATTCAGCTATTAAGGATTAACAGCCAAAGTTTATGTAAGCTTTCTTGTGTACCAGCCTAAGCACAGTATCCAAAGGTGACACGACCTTAAGAATGGAAGTTTTGGCTACCTTTTTTTTTTTTGGCCTCGTTTGTCCTTATGGCCAAAAATCGTTGTCAGTTCCGGAGTCTATTATGTTATAGTTGATAAGAAGGGAAATAACAAGGAAGAGGAGGACATATCCTTGCCCTTGAAAGAAACAATCACACACAATCAGATGTCTTCACTTAGATGTTTTCACAAAGTCAAAGCTAACTGTAATGAAAGCGGTATAAAATATACACTTTAAGTGACACTCTTAGGTGCCCAAGCTAAACCTTGAGGTTTTGATTACAAAAGGAAGTGAGACTTAGTATTTAGACTACTGTGTTCTGTCACAAGCCTGGGAAAAAAAATGTAGAAAAAGAAAATAACAAGGGCCTGACTGAGGACTGAGAAACTGTGGGTGTAGGGTGCTACTGAGGATTTAAAGAACATCAAGGATTGGGTTTGTAAGGAAGATTCAAGCCTTGGGTTGGTGAGGTGTAGGAGTGTGAGAGTGAGTGTGTGTGAAAGAGAGAGGAGAGGAGGGGAGGGGAGAGGAGAGGAGAGGAGAGGAGAGGAGAGGAGAGAGAGAGTGAGAGAGAGAGAGAACACGGCATGCGCGTAGCTGTGTTTTAAGGAAGATTTAAGTGTTGGGCTAGTGAAATGTAGGAGTGTGTGTGTGTGTTTTAAGGAAGATTTAAGTGTTGGGCTAGTGAGATGTAGGAGTGTGTGTATTTGTGTGTGTGAGCGAGGAGGCACACTTCCCAATTTCAGAATCAACTATTCAGCTCAAACATCTCTGTAGTACCGGCCCCAGTGCAATAGCCCTTGATCCCCAGGAAAGTGGTCATGATGCTTAGAACTGCTGGCATTGTTCTCAGACTCTAGACCCTCACCAGGCATTGGGAGCTGTGAGTCAGCTCAGGGATAAGATACTTATGTCAGACCCAGGAAAAGCTGTACGTTCGCATTTTATTAGTTGTCATACTTTGCACACTGTGTTTGGGATGCAGCCTCCACCTGGCGTCCCACCCCAGATCGACATTCCCTTTCCTAGCCTCCAGCTCTTGGCGTGGCACGGTGCCCAGCGGGAGCCAGGGACCTGGAGAACTCATTCATTCAACTGCAAGGTTTACTGAGCAACTTTAGGTGTCAGAGTTGAGGCTGATGAGATAGGGTCTACATGGGCCAGAAGCCTGAGGGGACAACACTCTAGGAGACTGTTAAATGGTCGCCGCGGGCCTCCCGGGTGGTGAGATCGCCTTGGCTTGCATGTCGCAACAACTTCCCAGACCGGTCGCCGGGCTGCGCGGGGGGATGCCCGTCCCGAGCCGGCTCCGCCTCGCGCCAGCCACGAGATCCCGCGGGAACAGAGCTCTTGGGGCTCGGGCTGGCCGCCCGCGAGTGACCGGCTCGGGATCTGAGACCGCCGCTCAAGCGCGGGTTCCAAAGCCTCGGTCGGCGGTTTGACCTTGAACGCCTGGCACCGCCCCGAATACAATCCCGCCCGCAGCGCGGGCAGCGGAACGGTCGCCAATAAAGTGCCCAAACCCAGTCTCTTTTGCCCCTTGCAGCACGCTCTTTCCTTAGCCAATCGGGTCCCGACGTGGTGCTGGCCAATGGTCGCGGTCAAAGTAGCTGGAGTGGTTTAGCCTATCAAAGTTCAGTCTAAGTTTCTCCCGCCCCCCAAAAAAAGTCAGAGGCGGGCTGATTTTAGATATTGGCCAATCAGTGGCCAATAAACAAGACGTTTGCAAGATCAAAGGAGAAGGGGTGGGATCTAA